GTTCTGGGGCTTGTTGTGGGGGGGGGGGGGGGGGGGGGGGCAGTGAGAGGAGGAGGAGTGCGATCGAGAGGGCGTTGACCATGGCTGGGGAGTGGGAGTGGGACTTGTCTTCGGTCGTGTATCCCTTGTTCAGCTTCTTCAATGGGACGTTAATTGTAATCTACGGATAGGATTTCTAATTTTTTACTGACATACCATCTACTATTCATTAAATATTTTTTTTGGTATTTTGATCGTTTATTGCCTAAATATGATTTACTATTTAATTTAAAATAATACACACACATATATATAATAAAATTGTAAATATTGTGTGAGTGTACATAATATTAAGATTAAGGTTTGTATATATTATATTAAATTCAATAAATAAATATATAATAAAGAACTTTTGTAGAGGAGGGTTCAACTTCAGTATTATCTTTCAAGTATCACTATTTTTTAATGACTAAAATATCTTTTTTTTTAATGTATTTTTTTTGCTAAAATTGCATAAAATATTTCTTAACCTCCATTCTCTTAATAATATATTCAACACTCATCAATAAATGAAATTTAAAATACAAGATTATAAAATAAACTCAAACTATCATATTTTAAAATGCTTTTTAATATTTAATACGACACGCAAAATGCTCCGGCCACACTCTGCCTCTTTTGTTTATTTTCAATCTGTAAGAAATCAAGGAATATGACAAGAACTAGTTTGTTTGAAGGAAGTTCAGGAGGAAATTTCTTTAGTATCATGGGCAATGGCTCAATCTGGTTGACTTTTTTATACCACTTTAGAGGTTGTGGTTCGAACCAGCTAGTTCACCAACCATGTGCCGCATCAAGGAAATATTCATTTTTTTTTAATGATTGAAATTATTAAAAAAAATTGTCAAAATTCTATCTTTTTATTTATACTTTCTTTTTTATTTAAAAAATCCATGACTTTTTTATCAACATGCTGATTTTTTTTAATAAAAACTTAAAAAAAATCAAATTATTTAAATTTTAAGAGAAAAAAATATATTTTCTTTATCTAGAACTCTCTATTTACTATTCATTTATTTGCTTTTATTTTGATGAGAAATGTCTTATTAAAACTATTTTTCTCATATAAGAACTTATCATGATCTTGAACCGATTTTCACTAAATAAATAAAAAATAATATTTTGATTATTTAACATGATTGTGTAGAAAAATAAAAAAATAATTAATTCAAAAAAATAATATAAAAATTTGATGATAAAATATATATTTTGTTCTCATTAACGTCAATGAGCATTTTTTAAAATATCATGCCTATTATTTTCTTGTGTAATTATAAAAAAATTATAGATATAACCATAAAAAGAGATAATTTTATTTTTTTTTAAATGTGGTAAAAGAATTGATACGACATTACCATGTAGGTAAGCGTTTGGTATTTTTTTTTTAATGTATTTTTTTAATTTAAAAATATATTTAAAAAATATATATTTTTTTTATTTCTTTTTCATATCAACATATCAAAATCATAAAAAACACTAAAATAATGACAATTTAATATTTTTTTAAAAGAAAATATGCTTTTAAAATAAAATATATACCGAACACAGTTGAAAACACAATACCAGTGACAATAGAGATAACAGTTCCCTTAAGGTCAATTTATCAGTAGGTTTGCTATTTGAACAATCAACATGCTATGGTTCTCCTCCTAAGTTTTCTCCGGCTAAAATGTAGTTACTGATTTCTCTTTTTTCCACAGAATAATCAAAGTGGGAAGTTCAGGTTGGAAAACGAAGTGACCTCCACCATTTCCTCTCCTTTGTTTTTTTGGTTGCAATGGGCAAGCCCTGAGCCCAGATACTAACAAGGCATCGCCACCGTCCCACCTTTATATCTTGACACATACAAAATATGGGAAATGGCACGAGGAGGAGCGTCCAAGCCTCGAGTGCCAAACTGCATTAAGCATCCTTGTTATCAATAAGATCTGCACACATATTCCCCTCGCTATGACTCGGCTTTATTTAGGCAATCCAATTACGTTAGCAAATGGATGAGATGAAAACAGGGCATACATTACACGGAAATATTGTGAAGGACTCAGCTGTTTTCTCACACGGAAACATAGGCAAACATTAAGGGTACCCAAACCTTCAAAATTTTAAGAACTGGAGGGTAAAGAAGAAGAACAAGAAAAAGAATGAGCTACCGTGATGCATAAAAGAAAAGACCTTCATATATATTTTCTTTGATGCGCAGGATTGAATGCCAGTTAGCAGACGCATGTATTTTCTTGTCTACCTGGTCTGATTTTCCCTTACGTTAATACTTGATTAAGGCAATCAGGGTTATCACATAAGTACCTTCTCACACCTCAACTTCAGAGCACATACAGGTTTAAAGGATGGAATATTAAGTCAACTATCAATTAATGGAGTCTGTACAAAAGGGCTTTAATAGGTCCCGTATACAACGAACTCTATTGCTCTTCTTATTGATAAGCGCTCTTATTAACAATGTGAATGATGATCATTATAGCAGTAAAGTGCAATAACCAAAGAAAGATTAAGCTATAAATACCAAAATTATGCAAGCATCTTGGCATATCTTACCAGTGAAACAACCACGCCACATCAAAATCAGCATGCCATACAGCGGTTCTCCAATCATGTTGAAACTGAGAACATCTATATTGAATTAGCTTCCTCAAACGAACTCAACTCATGAATTATATGTTCATAAACCTCAATTCCTTTCAAGAATATGGTGTCTTTCAAGAACTGCAATACATGCTTACAGATGTAAGTACCAAGCATGAATATGAAACTGCAAAAGAGAATAATTTATTTGCAAACTTGTCAAACCTCGTTATGGTCATGCAATAAAATAGGGGTATTTGTCATTGGAGAGAATCCGAAAGTGGGAATCCCCATCTGTCTCATGAACCGCGCATCAGTAGTTGAAGACAATATTTCAGGCTTTGCAAGTTTTCCTCCAGCTGCTGCAATGGCTTGCTTGAAAACAGACCACCACGGGTTCGAATCATCTGTTGCTGTCAATAACGGGCGTCCCATATAATCTCTCAAGGGTCCTTTCTCAATTATCTATCATATAAACAAGTAATCAGACAAATTTCTCTAATGCAACCTTTACTTGTTGAGAGCCAAAAGCAAAACCGCCACCAAGAGCAATAAATCATGACATTTTAAACTTCCCACTTCCATTGGAATGGTTGTTAGCATAAATTATCAAACCTTGTAATTATGTGGCTTTTAACTACAAGTGAGATTTCTCAATAAATATTTTCAAGTGACTTACAAACCAGAAGACAATATCAATTAAAATGAAGAAAACGAGAAGCAAACAAGGTAATCCAGATCTTCACATTGAATTCAAGTACCATTCCTTCACAAAGTCCAGACAAATTTCTCCAGCAGTTGAAGTTTGAATGTCAAAGAGACAGTAACCAAGGATATCTATTGCTGATTTAATAAAAGGATAACATAACAGACCATTGATATGGAAGGTTCCATTCCCTTCATACATCTAGATGACATAGTTTAGCTGGTCAGTGGACCATCCCATATCAAACCTTTTGATGGAGGAACAAATAAAAGAATTCAAAGCAGTTAAAAATCAATTGATTTCATAAAGGGAACGAAATTATTTCATGCAAAAATAAACCATATCAATCCTAGGTCTTGTCTGGGATCGAGTGTTCTTTGTTTTAAGAAGAGACATTTCCATGTTTAAAGATACTCTCGATCTTCAATTGTAAAAGTTGATGCATCGATTGCAGTGGGCACAGAGTACATGGATACCATTGAAAATACTGTTATCGCTTATACAGCTTTTGCAATGCACAATTTAAATTTTGAATAATCAATTAAAAAATAGGTATATCTAACTTGTTCTTGATACTAAAGCATTGCGAAGCATATATTGCGGGAGGACTAGCGTCATCTAAGCAACTATGAAGAAATTTTCTGAAGAAAAATCTTGTGCGTGCAGCACATGGAGACCAGAAGATTGTGCATCCCATTTAAGTGCCGGTATCCAGCATAACAAGTTATAAAATCATGTTTAATCCAGTTTGCAGTGACAAAGCATTACTATTGTTATCACCCACGACCAGGACCAAACTTTGGCAACATGTTAAAGCAATAAAAAATAAAGCTTATGGTGGGCAGAATAGTCACCAGATGACATTCAGGACATTCTTAGGCAACTTTAGGCCCTAAATTGCTCTTTGTCTTTGGGGTCCCTAATTCAGCTTTTAGGACAATGTTTATGAAAAAGAAAATATGAATCCAGTCAAATAATGCTCTAATAAGGAATGCTTTTGACTGGTAAACTTCAAATCTCAAATAATCAGGGCAGCGTTTCAAACCAACCAAACTCTCTGAAACATTCCCAGATTGCCTACCATTTCACGAGATAAGCAAGGACCACTTAAGATTACTTCAATTAGTGAGCATCAATGCATCGTGTTAACCACCAATTCAATTAACAAAAAGGGCCTCCATCACGTTGCTAAAAAAAGGGAAACAAGCAACCCCACATTCCTATGAATGAATTGAAAATGCCATCTAAAACTTCTATGATTTAAGATAAATACCCATCATGATGTTACCTCGTATGTCATGTTTCGTACAGCTGGCGCCCACTCTTCAGCAATTCTTTTCTTCACAAGATCCGGGTCCGCTGTAGGAGGCAATCTAAGATCAAACCCTGCTTCTGCCTCCGAAGGTTGCATATTCATCACATAACCCTACACAAGCAACTCTTTATCATCAACAAACAAACACGCTTAGAGTCCAAACAGTACAAACAAAGTAGAACAAACACTCACAGTTGGGGAAGGAATCCCAGCTTTCAAGAAAACAGGATTAACTGAGATAACTTCCGAGTTCGAAGCTTTTCCAGCCTTAACAATATCAAACTGACTATCTCTAAACCTGTTGATAACCTCGATACTATTCATCAAATTCTCCATAGCTCCGTTATCATACATTCTCGACCCGTGCCCAGGCACTCCTTTAGCCTTAATAATCAAATTCCAAGGGGACCTGTCAGCATAAAAAACTCTAAATTCATCGTTAACTGAAGCCTGCCCTTCATCCAAAACAAACCCAACATCCAAATAGAAAAGAGACTGGAGCTGTGTAGTTTGGGTTTGGATGGGCAGTGTTGAATCTCAGGTATTTTTGGAACCGGGCGATTGGGGTTTCTGGGTCTTGTTGTGGTGGTGATGTGGCGAGGGAGAGGCGGAGAGAGGGGAGGAGGAGTGCGAACGAGAGGAGGAGGGGAAGGCGACGGGCGTTGATCATGGCTGGTTTTTTTTTTTTTTTTTTTGGGGGGGGGGGCGGTGGTGGTTTGACGAGAGATTGTCTGTTTTATGCAGTTTAATGGCCTTCGTATTAATATTAAAAATAAAAAAATATTTTAGTATATTAAAAATTATTTTGAAAAACTAGTTTGCATTATATTACTAACTTTTAGGACATGCCATGAAAATTATTTTAATTAAATTAATGTAATAAATATATGTTTAATTGTGTTAGCTTTTATAGTTTTTATTTAAAAAATTAGTTTAAGATAAATATTTTGAGGGAAAATAGATGGAGTAAATCAAATTTTTTAGAGTGAATTTGAGATTGACTATATGTGGTTTTTTCTCTGTTTTTTTTCATTAACAAAAATTAATCATTAATTTAAATATAAAAGGATGCAATTAAAAATAAATAAACGTTTTAGTATATGTTGTGATAAAATTCCTAGTGGAAAATCCTGAAGCATAACTATTGAAAACGATCCTAGTCAGATGAATTTTCTTATTTTTCGATGCTGGAAAACGAAGTAAATCGGTTTTAAAAACCTTTGTTATTTTTATATTTTTATTTATTTATCAAACTGTCATTTTTTGAAATTAGATGGACCAACTGATTTGTAATTAGATTAAAAATCTGTTATCTTTGATTGTTTTTCACGCGTCAAGAAATTTTCATATTTGTATACAAACTTACTTTTTAATCACTTCAAATATCCATGCACTTAAAGTGATAGGGAAAACAAAAAAAAAACAGAGAATGCCTCTCTTGATAATTCAATAATAAGGGTATACCTTGAAATAATTTGAAAACCATAGAATTGAAATTGAAAACTCGAAGAAAATAGCATCCACGTGGTGAAGGGGAGAGAGCAAACGGTGAGATAGAGGCTCAGACCATGTTTGACGTGTCCGTAATGTCTATCTTTTATAAAATTTAACCTTTTCTTTAAATTTAATTTTTATATATTTTTAGATGATTTTGATATTTTGGTTTTAAAAATAATTTTTTAAAAATAAAAATTATTATTTTAATATATTTTTAAATAAAAATTATTTTAAATAATAACATCTTGACCGCGAGCGCAATGGTAACAAGCGAGGGTGCCTCGCTAATCGAAAACATCGTGCGTGGCAAAGGATCTAGATTTCAGGTTTGCTGTCTTAACTGGACCAAACAGCACAAACGCGATTTGGCAATCTCAACTAACCACGTCACTTATTACCAAAAGCATATTCAAACCCCACGCGCTTGTCCAAGTTCTCTAAAATTAATGGCCCACCCGCAACAAACAACTACTACCATTTAAGACCCCTAAAAAAAAACTCACGAGAACAGAGAAAAAGAGATCCTTGTTGAAAGCGAATTCTCTATCCCTCAACTTTACAGATTTTGCTCTGCATGATGGCGAGGAACTGTGATTCACGCGCTGGAGTAACGGCGCTGTCACTGATCTTGTTATGTCTAGCGATCAGTAACAATATAGTACCAGTACCAGTAGCAGAAGCTATATGGCTATCAATTCCTAACTCGGGAACCAAGTGTGTTTCGGAGGAGATCCAGAACGACGTTGTCGTTTTGGCTGATTACTATGTTCTTAACGAAGAACATCCCGACCGCCCCGTCACTGTTACTGTTCGGGTACGTATACGCTGTTAGATTTCGTAATTCTATAATTTTGATTAGGTCTTGCTCAGTATTGATTAATCGGTAATCATCTTATCAGCTTTGATTATTCTTTTTTTTTTAACGTTGCTTTTTGAGCTTTATTTCTCCATCTCAGATGTAGTGGTTGGATGTCTAGGATTGAATTTTATGATCTCCTTTTGATGTTTGTAATAGCAAGATTTTTCTTTTTTTAGATTTTTTAATGCACAGCCTGGATAAGATAAATGTCCAAATGAACAACTTTATTATGTCTAGATTTATTGAATTTCCATTGGAACGCCTATTTAATGCTTTATTAACATCACGTTGATTTTTATTGAAGTAATTTGTTTTTGTAGTGAAAGAAATTCTGTAATATTTATCTGCTAATTATTTTCTAGTTAAGTTGGTTCTGGTGCGTCGATCTTCTTCTTGTTTAAATACATTGTTTCAATGGTTAATTCCACAGCACCAAATTTACATTATAGACAATGATCGACGGCAAATGGTTAAGCTTGTAGATAGTAGTTTATTGCTGAAGACAATCTCTGTCACATGAGAATCTTGCCAGGGATTTAAATAATTAAGATGGCACAACATTGCAGGCTTTTATGAAGTATGATGACGAGGGAACCTGTTTTAGCATTTCATCTCTTTACATTAGTGTTCTTGCATTTAGTTGTGTTTGGCTCTTTATGGGCTTTCTATGAAGTGGTTACGGCAAAACTTCTTGTATAGCTAAGCATGATGATTCTAAGGGGTTTTTGCATTCATTAGGTAGAATAAACCCTGACATGAGAGTGTTTGGAGTTTGTGTTAAGGGAGTGAGATTTAATGTGAGATTTTTTGTTCTCCATTTTTTTTTCCCTCGAAAACCATATGATTGATATTTGCGAACGATCAGTAACAATATAGTACCAGTACCAGTAGCAGAAGCTATATGGCTATCATTATAGACAATGATCGACGGCAAATGGTTAAGCTTGTAGATAGTAGTTTATTGCTGAAGACAATCTCTGTCACATGAGAATCTTGCCAGGGATTTAAATAATTAAGATGGCACAACATTGCATGCTTTTATGAAGTATGATGACGAGGGAACCTGTTTTAGCATTTCATCTCTTTACATTAGTGTTCTTGCATTTAGTTGTGTTTGGCTCTTTATGGGCTTTCTATGAAGTGGTTACGGCAAAACTTCTTGTATAGCTAAGCATGATGATTCTAAGGGGTTTTTGCATTCATTAGGTAGAATAAACCCTGACATGAGAGTGTTTGGAGTTTGTGTTAAGGGAGTGAGATTTAATGTGAGATTTTTTGTTCTCCATTTTTTTTTCCCTCGAAAACCATATGATTGATATTTGCGGTCCTGCTAAAGCTAAGATTACTTTTGAGACATGATTCCTGTAATTTTTCTTTGAAAACATTTTGTGGGCTGCAGCATAATTTTATCAGTGTAAATATTGGGTTATGTCTGAAGATTATTCAAGTATCATATCTTCAGGAAATATCCCTTTCTCACCAGTGGCCAATTAAATCAAATCATTTTCTATTTTGAATTTTTTTAGTTTCCAGGGCACGTCAAAGTTGTATGATCTACTATGGAATAAATGGTGTTTGATCCTTATGTCATAATCAGTCTGACCAAAAAAAGGCAGGACGACAATGTTTTCTTTGATAGCTGTTTATATGTTCTTTTTTTCTTTGCCAACTATTTTTAGGTCAGATATTCAGCTATTTAAGCCTGACCACCTTCCCCCACCCCCCGGCATCTTTTCCTTGGATGTTTCACTTAGCCTGCAGTCTAGCATTCCCTTGTTGCCTTTTACTGTTTGATAAACTGGGTTTAAAACTATATGCAGGGTGTTGAACTTGAAGTAAGGAAACTTAAAGATCACGCGGAAGCCATCCACAATAATCTACTCTATCTCAAGCAAAGGTATAACTGAACCTTGATTTTTGGAGGAGGATACCTCACACATTCTTTGCCTTATCTTCTTTTGTATAGAAAACTTTTTTTGTTTTGTTATCCTGCCTTTCCTTAACCCTGGTCATTTCCAGGTTTCTAATCATGAAAGAGCCCAAATTGATATATGAATTACCAATGAACATGGGGGTATTGTTGGTTTTTGAAGTTTTTTTGTTTGACAGTTTCTGCCGCTATATTTTTATGATGAAGCTGATACAAGCTTAGAAAAGGAATAGATTGCCTTTGGCTTTATATTTTTGAAGGTTGAATTGGTGAAGTCTATGAACAAATAGAGCACCACTGGTCTTAATGGAATCGTTCTAGTTTTTGTGATGAGTGATGAAACCTGTGAAACTGAATCAGCGCAAGCAAAACCTAAAGCACCCCAAACTTTTAAGGGTGCTCGTATTTCTAGTATTAAAAACCTTTAGACACGTGAAATGTATTTACCTTACTGTTAATCCTACGTGCTTGTCGGTTGTTACTTGCAGGGAAGCTGACATGAGAGAGGTCAGTGAAAAAACCAATAGTAGAGTGGCATGGTTCAGTATCATGTCCCTTGGTGTCTGCATCGTGGTTTCAGTTTTGCAGCTGTGGCACTTGAAGAGGTACTTCCAAAAGAAGAAGCTTATATAATCTTATGATGAAAAAACGAACCATGTGATTATAATATTGTACACAGTATATTGTTCTTTTTTCTTGATTTTCACCTCTTGGAGGTGCGAAATAGCTCAGGCCCAGGAACAGTCTCATTTTGTTGGGGGGGGGGGGGGGGGGGGGGGGGGGGGGGAAAAAATAAAAAT